AGAGGATTATCCATCGACGAAGACGAGGAAACGGAAGAAAAGGAGAGAAGAAAGAAGATAGAAAAGAAGAAAGTTGTTGAGCTTTCAGAAAGATAGTCAAACAAGAACTCCTCTCACCTTCCTCTCAATACGCATTGGAGTAAACTGCAAAAATATTTGTGCAGTACATTTGTATAGCTCATTGTAAAAAAATTTTTTTTTATACTTATTGCGCTCGATTAAAAGCATTGTAGGGTGCCAATTCTCGATCTAGGAACGCTTTGCTAGCACATGTCTACCTCGGACCTGTATTAAAATTGTCATCGGTAATCTTTGAATTGGAAAGTACGGAATTAAAACAACAGAAATTAAGATCCTATTTCCCGGAAAGTGAAGTGTATATTTTCAGCATTAGAATTCGTAATAGTACGAGTACATTCCTGCTCACCTTTTACCTTCGTCACCTAAAAAACATCATTTTATATGCTTTATTATTATTATTATTATTATTATTATTATTATTAAAGGAGAAAACTTTTCGTTGCGTCTTAGTTGTAAATTTACCGAAAACACAATACCCGATCATTTTACATATTATCGTCACATAATGAACATTTTATTACTAATATACGACAAAAATGAATACTGCGCCACTTCTCTGAAAAGTAAATGATGGATGTGTCCGGAGAAAAAGGGCCAGGGCAGTAGCTCTAAGGGAGCCTCATATTTCAAATACATTCAACCGCTTTCCACACACAAGTAAACAGAATTCATCTCTCCACGCAATGGAAAAAAATACCAGTTAATATGAATTTGGAGAGAATACATTGTTTGCTTCGTTTGAAAAAAAATCAGGGTCTTGGGAAAATTATCCTAGCTCCCCCACACTTCTGGGCGTCTCTGGTAGTTACAAATTACACTTCAGCACATTCACTTGGAACCACAAATTGGATGCCAAAATCTCCCACCGTAACCAAATTAAGCAAATGTTTCATTAACGACGATAAAAAATGGCTTGTTATAGTAGTGAACAATCTTAAACTTAAGATATATTTCTACTGTTGCTAATACAATTCAACTATGAGTTGTGGTCTACAGGTTGCCGAGAGTTGGATGTGAGTTTTCATTTTATGAAATGTAAACATAAATTGTGGGTATTCTGACCCGACTTTTGCCACACACAGCGAGACTGATGACGGCAAAGCCGGCTCTCTAAATGAACATATTTAGTTGACGAGAAGACTTCCATTTTTTGTTAATGTAAACATATCTAACTTTCGGCAACATAGAGAAAAAGTGAAGATCGACGTAGACACATTAGTAGAGAAACGACTTAAGTTTTAATAGATTGTTAACTATTACAACATTAAGTTTTTTCTGGCCATACATATTTTTTTTTTAAAAAAAACATCAAAAGTAACCACAGACGTAAACATGCAATATTAAAATAAAACAAAGATGCAAGTTAATAGGGATATAAATCTAAAGGATCCTTTAAAAGGGTTGTTGGCTTCGGTTCACCCGACTACCTTGGAGCAACGCCTTCTGTATTACAAGCGGCGTCGATTGGAGTATCTACGCGACCCTCGTTGTTCTCTTATCGCGCAATCGGAAGTGGGTGTAATTTGCCGAAGAACAATCGGATTGCGAAAATTTACAAACGTCGACCCAGCGACAGCGCGGCGCTGTAATTCTGAACGCCGAGAAGCACGCCTGGGCCGAAGCTGTCATCAGGAAGTGGAAAAACTACGTTCAACTAACAAATGACTATTTCTCTTAAACTATCTGTGATATCACAAATTAGATATCAGATCGATGATAAGCATACCGAAAATAATAGAATCACCTACTTATATTCGAGAGCAAATTTCTTTGTTTAATCCTGTACTAATCAGAAAAATGCGGCAGGACTCAAGATATTAATCAAATATGTTATTCACACTAAAGAGTTCAATATTCAATCGAGTAATAAAATGAGCATCCACTTTAAATTAATAAATAAGCAGTTTCTACTACAATAGATAATTTTCTATTAAATTAAGAAATTGAATATCCATAATCGCTTTAGGGAAACAATTGTCACAATTATTAAATTTTAAATAAAACATATTCCGCCAAAAACTCTAAAATAAGGTATTTTAGGCTAATGATTTTTTTAATTACAGTCTTTTAAAGAACTGTCAATAGATGCTAGCCCCGCAAATTTCAAAACAATAACAATAGTGCACAATAACAATAGTTGCCTTCTGCGCTTGAGCTGTCAGTTCTATTATGACAGTTTCCCTAAAAGATCAAATACAACAGTGGTCTGAAATCACACACGAATAGAAGCTGCGCGAGACAAGTAAATGTTCTGCAATATGGAACAGAGAAGACGCGCAATAACGAAACAATTCGGTCGACGAGAAAGAGTGATCAAACAAACTCCACACGGTTAGGAACTGTTAGGTCGCATTAAAAATGCGATTTACAAAATTAATTCATAAACAATAATCCATGACCAAAACCAACTACTTAATTATTAACTATTCTCGGAAACTTATTACATTAGCATAAAACATTTTATCTACATTCTACAATGATGAAAAAAAATGTTATGCTATTACAAATTTGTCCGCACTCAGTATGTCATATCAGAAAGAATTTACACAAAGGCATAAAAAAAGAGCGACGATTTCGTACAAAATCATGGTCGCTGTTTACCGCGCGGAAAAAGGCAGCACATAACAGTTAAGTTACCCAGACATTCAAACACGATCACTGAATGAATTGTTGTTAAAATACTCTTTTTCGTAATTATTTGCACGTAAGCCCTCCAAAAAATGTAGGTAGGTCCCTCACAAATCTGGCTTCACTCAACCATCGATTACATTGCGAAGATTAAAAATATTCTCCAATCACTATTTTGAACATTGCGTGACGGCACAGAACTCCCAACAATTGATTAGAAACGACAGTGGGCTAAAATCTTCATCTTCCAAACAAACACGAATGATGCAGAGCTATACTTACGTAATACAATTTCAATGATATGTCATTCAAAACACCCCCACATACGCCCAACACAACCTTCAAGTACCAAACCTTGAAAGCCACTTATCACAACACTAAACAAATATTATACCGTGATACAAATCTTTATTAATGTCACAACTAGGCGGAAAAAGATTTTCTAAAATCCACTACAAATCTGTTGCCTAGTTACAAGCAGAGATGTCTGCTTCACACTATAAACATTGCAGCACGAAGCCAGTGTCCAACTTCAATTCACTGGATGACGATTACATGATTTCACTGGAAGGTAAAAGATGAATTTCCGCACTTACCGGGGTCTCCACGTCCAAGAAATATGCCCATCCCGAGCAATAATCTCGCTTTTCCACCCCAGTCCGAACAGAGATCCATCGCAGCCATTTTCTTCCCACCACTGCCACTCCACTCTTTTGGCCTCAAACGGCGGCCGTGACGTCAGGTGAATTAAGACTTGACCGCGGAAGAAGATAATAGAGAGCGCTAGGCACTGTCAGACTCCGAAACCATGTTACCAACACTCATAAAAAAACTTTCACGTTTCATCAAATTCTGATACATAAAATAACATGCCATTATCCTCTTCACGTATAATAACAACCCTCTTGATGTGGTGTAGTAATATATTTATTACAAAACGTTAAAAATATGTTTTACTGACTTTACTTCTCTTGCAAGGGTTGGTTAAAAAGTTTGGAAGTACGCATGCGTCACGGCGGGCTTTTAAACATTTACCATGGAAAGCACTGATGTAACTTCATTTTAAACTAGGTTCATAAACCTGTTCAGCAAGTGGCATCGTGTAAAATACACTAAAGGTTTTGTTTTTTTCTTAGCAACAGGAACACAAGTTTATTCTGTCGGCAAAACCATCTCTTCTAAGCTATATGTTAGAGTAGGGAGTTGCACAATTTTACCAGTAACTAGTGTTTTTGTTACATTCTTCCTTCCCTCTGAATATTTAGTCAGTTCCAAAAGAGTGAAACATTTACAATTCTGTTTGAAGAAACCCTTTCTAAGTACATGCCATTTCACAAGTTGTCCTTCATGCGAGCATCTAAACAGGGACACAAAAAGTTTCCTTTGCCAACATACTTCAGAGGTCCAGTCCATTACAAGAGGACAAAAACGATATGGAACACCATTTACCCTTCATCTTAACTGCTAGTCACCACTACATACTTCTGACAATGTTGAAGTCATCAAGCCACTGAATAGGAAACACAACATTGTGTACAGCACTGTTGAGTAACAAAAATTAAATAACTTGGGATTCAGTCCAGGATTATTTTCAACTTGCTGGAGGTTGGATGTGGTATGCGCTTCCCAAAATTTATTTTAACACGAATTTAAAACTTTAACTTCTTTTATTCTCCACTTTCAGTCTATTGAATTTAAGGCTTTTGAAAGAAATTTGTGTAAAAAGTGTTAACTGCATTTCTTATATTCATATGGGTAAATCATATGCTTTACTTTTTTTTTCGAGACAAATTCTTGGTCTTGTTCGATGATATTGCGCTTCTAACAAGTGTAAACACAATTTGATATTTTTCCAATTGATCAACAGATACCAAATAAAAGGATTTGTAAGTTCCAATCAGAAAAAAATTGCCAAAACTTGCAATTGGAGATGGGGGTCTTGAAAGGACCCCCATGGTATTTCACATTCACATGGTACTCGGATAGTTAAATTAAATATTCACAGAAACTGCCAAGAATACACCAAACAAAATTGCCGAAGTTCTTTTCATTTTCAATTTGTCAAACAAACAAAAAAATGAAATAAAATCCTGGGGTTCAGGGAAGCAAACTACTTTCTCATATTGGCCCAATAAAACCCAAAACAGTTATATTTCATTTGGAGGAGGGGTGCTGAGCCATTCTTTGTCCTAAATTTTCTTGAAATGCCTTTCTTATATTGTAAATGTTTTATATTTTCTTAATACATTCAATGCCTCTCATACTTAACAAAATGTTTATTGCTTAAAATCACCACTTTTCCACTCATTTCTACTTGTAGATAAATCACAAAATTAGTTCAGATTATCTTATGAATTCAACAATTCTATCTTTCAAACTGTTATTGTTTTCCAATCAGTTGTTCAACACATACGTGTAAGACAATTCAAAATTAAATGAAATGGATTCATTGTATGCAGAAGTGTTCATTACAATTGGACACAAATGCAAAAAAGCAAATTAAATCAATTTCCAACTATTTTCTATACTTTGAGAAAACGGGTATAACTTGAACCAAAAATAAAATCTTACACAAAAACTCATGTTGGGTACGCTCAGTAGACCAATTTTCACTTGTGTGACTATATTCCCCCAGTTTTTATGAACAATGAAAAGTGGTTGATAAGCAAAGTTTAAGACATTGAGAACATTAATGAAATTTTATGCAATGAATATGGTATATCTCGTCCAATTTAATTTTATAGCTGCTTTGGTGAAACCACAATTTTACTAGGAATTTTTCCTTTTGCTTCCATTTCCAACTCATTATTTGTTTCTGTTCCAATCTAGAACACTTACTGGAATTACTTTTCATTCTTTCCCATATTAATTTTTAAGATCAATTGTACATCATTACATATTTACAAGATTTTAAAATAGATTAAGAAATAAACCCAATTATTTGTATTACTAGTCAAGTAGGTTATTCCAGCCCTCTAAACTTACTTTCAAATTCTTTAGAACTTTACGAAATTCTACAATAAATTTCTTTTCTAATATTTGTGGTAAAAATTGTAATGTTGTTCAGTGTGTTACTGGGAGAATAATATTCACTTTTCTGCCACAATTTTCAATTTATAACTTCCACATTCATTGAACATAAGGTCATATACCAAGGATTTATTATAAGGGTTTTGGGATTTCAAGGATCTTCAAAGAATTTTACAACGAAACACTGCCACTAACAATCAAGTAATTTCAGACATATGTTTTTAAGTATTTATTGCAGTTTGGAATCAAATATAAACATTATGTTTCAGCTTTCTTAGCTTTGGCAGAAGCCTCCTTTGCTTTAAGAACCTTAACAACAATCTTCTGTTCTTCAATCAGGAAAGCACGTACAATCCTGTAAAAGAAAAGGAAAATTTACCATAAGATTCATTCAAAAAGAAGTGAAAGTATGAATATACTTTCCTATGAGGAAATTAGAGTTAAAGTAATACTGGAAGTTTATTTAACAGATCACAGAAAACAACGAAGTAAAATAAACTATGTACAAAAATAATACATCAATATTTATGCTAAATTATCAAATTAAATTATTCAGTACCCATCAATTTCGAGAACACAGTATGAGGCTCCATTATAAAATCTATTAAACTCAATTTCATTTCCACTGGTCCTCCTTCAAGCAATAAAATATGACATAGCTTCTAACCCATTCTTCACATCACAAAAAATTTCAAACAACTTCTATCAAGTAACGTATCAACTAAACTTCTATCAAGTATCACAGCAAGAAGTAGTCCAGGTGTGAGGTGGAGTCATGATCATCACCTTCTTCGACAAATTCTGAATTTTATTAAAATAGGATCCGATTAGACCAATTTAATCATAGTGACTTCTAATGTTAGATCAGCTGCATATGTTCACCCTATCAAGAGCTTCATATCCACTTATTAAGTATTAAAACTCCCATTTGAATAAGCCCTTCCAAGCTGATCAGATGTTTGAAGCCACTATAATAAATTGGGGAATAGAATATCTCTTTTATTAATCACCAGAGAGGTTATTTTTAAAATGATATATGTGCATTTTCATGTGTGTTCTAATTTTATGAAGTATAATAATCCGATGATGCTTTTCCAAAATGCTACCAAATTGGCTTCAAATCCAGTGTTTGCGATATATTAAATACCCCAAAATGGACTTCACAATAATACGACTTTTCTCATCTTCATTTTAGTTTAGAAGAGTCATCTCCAGACAAGCCAATAGCAAAACTAGTCCTGTTACACTAAACCAGAAAGGTATATATAGTTGATTTTAGAACATGTACTTGTGTTATTCTTTGTATCATTTAGTGTTGTTATGGATAGAGACTGGATGTTTGGTAAAACGTTATTTTGCTATTGTTACTATTTCATTATCTTTGACTACAGGAATCACTTCATTGTGCTTCTGGATTTCTTTTGGTAGATTTTCATTTGTCTTTACGTCCTTATTTTGCTATTTTTTTTCTTCTTTTTTTCCCCTGGCACTGCTCTCTCAAATAGGAAATATACTCGCAAACCTGGACAATACAAAAACAAGACCATATTTTGTCTTTCTGTACTGAAGCAGAAGTGGTGTTAAAAATCTAAATGAAAAAAGGAAGATTATATCAGTCAAGGTTTTTATCATTGATGCACAGAGGGTTACAATTCGCTAACGTAGAATCCAAACTCACTTTTGAGCAGGGCCTCTGATCCCTTCTGAGGATCAGCTAGCTAGTGTGTATGATATACAATTCTCAGTGCTGGTGATTACACAATTGAGAAGAACGAAAAATATAATCATGGAGTCCACAATATCATTTTGAAGAGACAGTGTCACAAATAAAACAAATTCATAGCCACCATACCTTGTAATTAAATGGAATTGAAATAACTAAGAAAGATTGTTTCCTTACATTTTCATGTTTAAAGTTCAAATTTTAATGTTGAAATAAAAACATGAATTATTTGAATTTGTTAACTTTTTAAATAATTAATTTTAAAAGTATTTTTTCCACTGCGATTTTCCATTTCCATTGCTTTTTTGTACCTCTACTTTAGTTATAATAAACAATTTTTTATGTTCATTTTAATAAAAATAAATGCCTTTATGCATATTTTAGGTAAAATAAATTCCTGAACTACCAGGCTCTAGTCGTCAACAGACCTACTTGAATGAAATTTTAACAAGGGTCCATTTTGAACAATTATTAGAGTAATAAATATTCCAATGCTGTACCAACCCAAACCCTTAACCTAAATCAAAATCCGCACTAAAGACGACCAGCCCAGTCACTAACATTTTTGTAACAATAAACATTTGCCACTTTTAATTAAAGGACCACATGAAATCTACCTCCTGTTAGCTTTCATTCACACAGTGCAAAGCTACGAGTGCCAGTGTAATATCTTACAACATATTATCTTTTACCCATATTTGATTCCAAGACTCCACTGCAGAATAGACAGAACAAGGCTCAGTCCTTTGGCCCACATAATATTTAAATTTAAAAAATAATAATAATAATAATAATAATAAAAAACACCCTTGAGACTGCGTAATAATTATCAATGAATTTTTATGCAAAAATACTTTTCGGAAAACAAGCCTCATAAATCCATTTGATGGTACATATTTATTTTCTTAAACTTTAGTTTCAGAAAGCTCTCACTATATTCACTTCATTTAAATACCATTTCATCCCTTTCAAAAACAGGTTGTACTTTGCTTTCTGCAAAACAAGAGAATATGTATGATACTTGACCACTAAACCAGGAAACTCTGGTGCAAAACACATGTTACCACCTTCTTATCACTTAAAAAACACCCATTCTACATTATGAGAAATGTTTATTTAATACGGACTTCTTAAAAAGCAATAGCATTGTAAACAATCTCATAGCTTAAAGATTCCCTTATTCCTTAAGCATCAAATATGAAAATTCTGCTTCCAGATAAGCCACAACAATGCACAACTAATGCCTGTTTTACTCATTAATTTTTTTATTTCTCGTCGGTTCAGAAAAGATACAGACCAGTCTGGATGTAATTTGTACAAAAATTACACATGCTTAATTTTTCGGTACAGATTTATCCAGTTTGACTACCACACTCATGGCGGCACTTGACGAGACTTTCTCTGGTTTGTTATGCTTGTGGAAAGAATTGTTAATTTTGTAGTAGCATGATAGAGTTCTGATGTGTTGAATTGTAATGTGAAGTGATTATGGAGTGAGAAAAAATTATGTACTGTATTCTAATATCGTTGCATCTTCATAAGATACTTTATCTATGATTGCATTCCTGCTCAGTCCTAATATAACCTAACTTAATTTGTTAACACAGATGCGTTGCTAAAATGTTTGAACTTCAATGCTATATGTGCCATCCGAAGGAAGTATTTCCTTCACAATTACATACTAAAACAGAAATGACTGTGTAAAATGCTGTTATCACTCTCATCCAGTTTCAGCACCAAAACATACCATGTAGAAACAAATGTTTTTTTCCATCCACTTTCTGTACAGAAAAATGATGAAAAAATGAATGTGAAAAACAGGTCTAATACTAGATTGTGACCAAAAAACTACATAAGATTTATCAACGAATTGATGTGTCTTGATGTGTCCTGCTGAAATCAAAATAAACTTCAGTTTTGCTCCATGATGAACAATTTTCAATTCAATTCCCACAAATCAGTGTTTTGTAATTGACTGGTAAACTACAAAATTAACAGTAATGCTACTATGTTATTCAGATTAAATCAATTATTGTCTGATTTCCTCATGCCTCCAACATGTCAACAACTCCAATATGTCATGTCAAGACAGGTTTAATTTAGCTGCAATAATTTCAATGTACTTATTAGCTGAGTATTTCCTTCAGTTACAGTCTTCACATTAACGCACATATCACAGCAGTTTGGAAAATGACTAGTAGAATGTGTTGCATTAAATCACTGAACCATTTCTTTCTCATTTAAGGTGAATACACTACAAGAATTTGAAGAAGATATTATAGTGAGACCTAATGTTCATAAACTGAATACAGATAAAGTCTTCACAACAAATGAAGCTGTAAAATGAATAGGAATCATTAAATTCATAATTAGATTCTTACCTAACAAAGATTCAGACTACAAAAGCATTCTGAAAATAGCCTATCCTGTCAGCATCCAAACGCAATAATAAAATTAATTGGTTGAATTACCATCAATAGACTTCACAGAATAAAACACAAGTTCTTTAGGAATGGGTATTCCCAATCCATTTCATTACGCACGAATCTCATTGGCATCAAATATTCGAACCCATAAGGACTTATAACTAACCTAAGACCAGATTCGCATTTAACTACTTATTTTCTTTGCTACCTTGAAACTGGACGAAACCTGAACAGAAATTTGAATCATGAAATTGACATTATCTTAGCATTTATCTAATTTTGTATGTTTTGGGGGTTACTGCACAAAATTATAGGTTTTGATAATGCTGCCTGAAAATTGCATACTTAGGAATTTTATTGAACAAATTTGCAATATTCATAATTTTATTGCATTACATATAATTCTTATTATATCAACTTGTTTTAATTTACTTTTTTTAAAGTTTCACTTAAGAAAAAAGGTTTTATGACTTAACCCTGCAGTGCATTCAGGTGCTAAGGGAAACTCACGCGCTGTTTATTGTGCATCAATTCCGCACATTTTATTGCCTCATGAAATAAGTAACTAGACATTTCATGATGGCTTTTGGCTAATTAAATTAAGAGGGATTGCAGAAGAGAGTTACATATATGCAACGTTGCAACAAACTCAATTCGCAGACCTCAGTTGCGGCAGCTCAGCTGAAGCTATGTTCCAGTCTATCTTCCCAATCAAATCATTTAACCATTTGGTCAGTCTTTGCAGATCTTAACCAACAAGACTGCAAGTGCAAGTCACATTTGCAAAGTTTTGGTATTTGTATTGCAGGCTTTTGCATGCTTTGAAGTATTTACTGCATGTTTAGAGAATTAGTGCACGAAAATCTGGTCTTAACTTATGCTCCTATACAAATAAATACATTACACTAAGATAATCTGTAGTTTCACAACTAAAGTTTTGAGTCCCTACTTGGTCATCCAGGCATATATATATATATATATATATATATATATATCATCATATATATCAAAAATCATGGTTTTGTTATTCTAAAAATTCATATTTTGTGTATTAAGCTTTTCAATAAATTTTTTGATTAAGCTATGATTTAATCCACATTTCATATAAATACATAAACCCAGTTAATTATATTTATCCCTTAGTGAAGCAATCTTTTACCACTGTATAAAACATTTCACTACTGGACTCCAGTCCATACGATAAATAAAATGAGCTGAAAAATTAATTTCTTACATTCTCATCTGGACTACTTCTCAGAAAACTTGGGAGTCTTCAGTGAAGAGCAAAAGGGGAAGGGGGATTTAAAACAGTGAGATGTTACCACGAAAATTGGGAAAAGCCTGCGCTGGAGGATCACCACTGGAAGATAAAGTGGTAAGCTTTGAATATCCACCAGGTATGAACAAGTATGAATGAAAGAAATCTCTTAAAAAAGCATAGTGATTAAGTGTATAATTGAGATGAATGACAGAAAAATTCATTTTGGGACTTGGATTCGGGTGAATGAAGTCAGAAAACTTGCCACAAACTATACTGGCATTATAATGCAGTTGGGACAAAGCGTATGAAGGACGAGCCATGAAAATAGTGTATACATAAGGTTTATTAATTTTTATCGGAGCATGTAGCATAATTCGAGGGAGGGGTTAAGGAGACCCTCCCCCACCACATTTCTCTGAGGGTGTACTGTGTAACCTACTTTAACCGAAAACTGAAGTATTTAACAGGAAAACCAAAAACCCTCCTAATATTTCATTCCTTGCACATTAATTTTATATCCTTTCATTCTCATCATAAACCACTTGCAGAGCAACGATTACCAGCTCCTTCTCAACATCAACACTAGTCTATTACATTAAATATTATCTCTTTCCACCTCCTTTTGTCCCATATAATCTATTTGAAAGTAAAGTGCAAGAAAACTAGCTTTTAAACTTGCTTAACTAACTCTATAATTAACAAAAATAAATAAGCTCCTTTGAACATTAATTAACGATAGGTTGTTTTTTTTATATGCTCAATTATAAACTTGTCTATAGAATTGTTTGGAATTCCAGCAAGCATGACACACCTGGTCACAAATAAAGGAGCAGATTTCATTAATTTTAGTATACATTACATCCAATAAAGTAGAAATGAAATATACCTTTCTTTAACACACTTGTGGCAAAGAACACCACCATAAGAACGCTTAACCATCTTCTTCCTTCTGCTCATACGGGATCTTTCCATGGAACGAGCGGGCCAAATGCCCCTCAGACGCTCCTTGCACTGCCCACATTTCGGGACTCTCCTGGGCTTCTTAAGGTACTGATACACTAATTTTCCTCCAGGAGTGAGGACGCTGTAACACATTCAAACATTATTTGCACAGTTCACACTAGTATGGCAAAATCCACACAACTAAGGGTCGTAAATGTATCCACCTTCGTACATGAAGTTGGAAGTTCAAAATTAAATTGCAACAATGTAATCACTTCACTAAGGAAACATTGAAAAATACTCCAAGAAAATTCGCAACTATATTTATGGAAAACTTACATGCGCCTCTTATTACTGTTTGTATTATACGACAATCGTCGTCGATAGACTAACCGCTGCACCATATTTGCTTCTACAACAAAGAAACAAAACCCAACATTAATCGCAAAAGATACTTGATATAATCAAAGTTAAGAATAAAAGAACATCATATGATCACACAAATTACATTATTAATCGAACAACCGCTAAGATTAATTTGGATTACACATGGAAAACCACAAGACTTACACGCACACACTACTTCTCACAGGAAGAAAATCTTGCAAGGAGCTTACAATCACCACGAAGTTCAGAACATTTTTAAAAAATACTTCCGACTAAAACTTTCTATTTGTAACGTTTTTAACTCTAGATAAAAAAAGAACCTAAAAAATATTGTAATTGGAATACTCTTCAAGACCAATTTCAACATACAAATAATATGAAGTTATTAAGATGAGTAAAACGGATGTGAAGTGTTCAGGAAAGACACGTGTGAAAGCAACACCGCTAGAGGCGACACCATCGCCTGCAAGAGTCGACAAGTTAATTGGACTATTGGAATCTCTTTGGACTGCTCTCTAGTGATTAGTGAATCGATAGTGGGCTGTCTGGCTCGTATTTTAAACTTGCAAATGTGAATACATTTGGGATTCATTATGCAGTGAACCAGGGCCGGATTTACTTACAAGCAAAACAAGCAGTTGCTTGGGGGCCCACATTCACCAGGGGCCCCGCGTTTCGGAAAAATACGCATACCATATTTTTTTGTCTGTGAAATAATTGTTAATCAAGTAGTCTACTGTGCAACAAAATGTACAATTTCAAAACATTTTTTTAAAAACATTATTAAGAAATTATATTCATTTTTTCTGAGGCCGAATGATAGGAAGAAAAATTTAGGATGCTTTCACAAAATGATACTCTCTTTATAAACATATAGGCAAAAGGTAAATATTTTGTAACGTTTACAAGAAACCAGGTAAACAAAATTGTAAATTTTATACCATGGAACAAGCTGTGGAACTACCTATTCTACCATAACTCTACTGCTGATTTACTACCCCCAGTCACGCGTGATACAGATGTAAGACGACCCTAGTCGTGTTACAATAGCACTTTTTTTCGATTTCTTCTTAATAGATACCTAATATACAAGCGAAAAATTAAACATGACCTTATTTGAGGAACTGTTTTTGTTGAACACATTTCATTAAGAAAAAAAATATCATAGGTAATACCATGAGTATTTGGAATTTGTCGATAAATCTCTGACTCGCGAAGCGTTGGGGGGGGGGGGATTTATATGAAAATGTCTAAAGCACGAGGGGTCTTTAATATGATTATTCCACGAATTAAATTATGGCCAATAGAGTTCAAAAATGCAAGGAGTGTTGAAAATAACTTTTTCGTTTAGTTAACTAAATACGCTTATGAATTGCATGAATTCGTTGATTATCTCCGTGTTATTAAAATTCAATTATCATTGCAATATATGCAATTAAAATTACGTGCAATTAAAACTACACGCCCACCAGTAAGAATTTGGGAAAGGAGCAAAATCGTTTAATTAAAACACTATAACACATGTGTAGCACAGGTATTTCTAGTCGGCCATGAAACATGAACAAAAATGTACATAACAGATTACTTATCTACAACTATATATAAAGAACGAATGAATAAAACTAAATTGGCGAAGTAAACGTTAAGCTGGCTGACTAATGGAACAACATACTATATTTAACGTGAATAAATATTACAAGTAAAACATTTGGCCTTAGAATTATAATACAAATGTAAATGTCAGTAGTGTTTACTTGTTCTAAAACGTACGCTATAGCAAAACTGTGTCAGAAGTGACTTTTTTAATTTTTTTTTTTTACTTACTAATATTTATACATGTATTCGCTCTCATACCTGTCTTTACTTTTTGTGGAAAGTAATGTTTTCACAAATGTCAACTTCTAATATTTTATCCGCAATATATTCAGTATCTTCCACGTGTAAATATTTCTTGCAAAAAACAATGCAAAGTTCAATAAGATATTTTCAGAAGCAATATGTCACAAAAGGTATACCACCGAAGGTAAAGATATGCTTGATTTTCGCAAAATTTAAATTATTCTTAAATGGAATAACTCCACTAATACACCAATTAATGGAAGGAGAAAGAGAAATGGGGTAGGTAATAAATGAGGACAAAACAAAATATATGACCGCTACGATACTACTGCCCTATCTCAGCCATCTGACCGGCTGTTAAAGTATTTTACAAGAAGTATAGTTAAATTTTCAAAATAGTCAGACTTTTTCATTTCATAGAGTCCTACCTTATAAGTAACTATTTCAAGAAAAAATGTAATTGAAAATTTTATGAAATATCAGTCTACTGTACCTGGACTTATTAAATTACGATAAAGATTTTCTGGAGTTCTAATTTATGTCAATTTTCTTTCTCATTTGTTTCGCATCATGGGGCCCCTTGACTTGCGGGGCCTCGGGCGATCGCCCCATCTGCCCATGCCTAGCGCAAGCACTAGCCTTGGCTACATAAAAGTAGATAAATCCAGTTTCTAAACTTAGAAGAAAACTCCTCTAACACCTTGGAAAGCCAGAATCCTGGTTTTATGGGTCCTACAAAAATCGGTTGACGGCAAAACATGACTGACTGTCTGTCTGTGGTCAACGCTATCATCTAAACCGTTCAATTTTCTTCAAAATTGATGTGCCATAATCGATCTGATTGAAGTCGAGACTTTGGGGCTTTCAAATGGATATTTTGTTTATTGAAAGTACTTCACATGAAGCCTCAAAGACATTGTCAAAATTTTCTCAAAAATGGCGCAGTATTTTTTTTATCAAAGTTGTACTTGGGTCGTGTAAATGACGTAAATGTTCTCTTCCTCGTTGAAATCCCACATTTTTGTAATTGCGTAAGTGAAATTGAGGGGGGGGGAGCGTCTTCCTACAAAGTTGTAGACTACTTATGTTTTCGAATTGAATATTAATTTATTTAAATATCCACCTTTAAGGTACAGATTTCATTTAAGGAAAAAACTAGCTATTTTCAATATTATAGTTCTATAATCATAGTTTATATTCAATTATTCGAAAATATAAGTTGTTTCGTGTATTCGGCGCGAAATATAGTCAATATTTAAAAAAATATTTTTCTCAAAAACCGCTCTAAAGTTTTCCTTTAAATTTTCTCCACGGATAGAATAAGGGATGCTTAAAGAAAGAATGGCGTATTTTTGAAATAATACGAGAGAAATAATTGAGATAATAAGATAATACGAGATCTACTCTAATATATATATATATATATATATATATATATATATATATATATATATATTACAGTAGAAGCTGTTTTTAGCCCCCTGTCCGGATACTTTTGATCACATAATGTATTTCATGTCCAAAATCCTGCCACCGTCAGGACTCGAGCCCCGCTCAGAGGCCCTGCAGCAACATCAACTGATTACTGTCTGATTTATAATTCTGGGCGCGTCAACTGCTACAGCCACAAGTCCTGTAAGTGTATGCACATTTTTCCTTGGGGTGGTGTCGGTGATCTTCCCCCGCTGGATGGCGAGATATGGCGCCGACCTTCCGATTATTGGCGGTTTTCCCCAACCTGGTATCTTCCAGCTACGTGGCACCGTCCCAGCCGGGACAAGCTCTTGTCTCCCGACTTGTGTGGCAGTTTAGTGCATGATTAGTGTGTGTGAAAGGGATGAGGATAGGCGAAGGAAAGATCGTGCGCGGTTCGTTTGTTTGGATACTGCTCCGGCATTCGCCTGGTGTTCATTGGAGAAACCACGAATAACTACCGATTAGAGCAGTCGGCTGCTAGAATTCTATTCCAGACTGCAATTGAATTCTACCAATATTCCAAATTTATTTAGTGTCCTTTGGCAGATCATCAGCTTTTACGGTGTCATCCAATCGGGAGCTAAACGTCACCGTCATCCAAGCTCCCGATTGGATGACACCGTAACAGCTGATTTACGTCAACAAACCCTGTGTTTAGTATAGCTATGTAGCAAGTATCGGAAATCTTGTCACCGTCGGGACTCGACCCGTCCAGAGAAACCCTTCTTCTCCTACAGAAGACAGTATCTTCATTTAACGTAAGTCACAACTGGACTGTCAAAACCCTAATGTTGTGCTATTGAGAAATAGCAGTACAATATCAGTCTTTTCTCTATAGTCGTGCGAGAAGCAGCAACAGAGGATTATTCAAAATGTTTGCGATCGCATGATCTCGTTGGCCCGTTTCTTCTCTCAGCATTTGTATTGTCACGCGTAAGTTGAGTTTCTCAGAACTGAGTTGCATCACTTATTCTCGGATTTACCTCTGGGCTCATCCAACAAACGAGGCTTAGGGTTACATTTCTTACAAATTACTTTACATAAAATACCGATACCCAAAGAAATTAAGTTCAGTCTCAAACTTTACAAAAATGGGTCCTATTGTCCTGACGCCCTTCTAGGACACTATTTTTTTGGGATAATAATACAAAATTAAATTTGCTTTTATGTTTTTTCTTTACAACCGTATTATAGAATGTCATATAACCCAACTTAAAATAATCGGGTCTATCTGGGTGAATGAAATCTCTTTAAAATCTGATTTCTAAAAGTGATAAATTGTTCATAATTTGGTAAGTTTTAGAGTAATTTGGGGTGAAATCACGACAATTATCCAAAAGTACCTTCGTCCACCAAAAGATGGCACTGAAATTCTAGTTAATTTTTTGAAACGAGTAGTCCATTTGGAGGTAGTTCATTTAGGGGTTGAGTACATACATGGTTACTATTTAGAAATGTACCATGGACACAAGGTATCCGGGCAAAACAAAGAGTGGCAGGCCTTCAAAAAAACTTTATTTTAAATTTAGTAAGTTAACATGAAAAAGGCTTTGTGCCACCGAATTATGTTCTATTCATACAAAAAGAAAATCAAACAAAATTTTTAAATTTTGCAATTTTTGAATATTCTGAGGTTTTAATGAAAATCAGATCTGCACAATTTTAATAAGTTAAATGATTATTCAAAAAAAATTGGGGCCATTTTTCAGGAAAGTCTGAGAATGGAGTAGAGGCTTCATGTTAATTATTTGTTTCAAATTCGAGAAGCTACCAGATTGAACAGGGAATATGAATTTTGATGAAAATTCTGTGTACATTATAGAGCCCTTGTGTTATCCACACACAGACACATGAGGAAGAACATTTTTTTTGGTATCAGTCACAAAACAATAGTTCTGACTGTTTTCTTTCTCATTAATGTAGGAACAACAAAAATCTACTAATTCAATATCACAATCCCAAACAGCATAGTTTTTTATGATGAAAACTCCCAACTTTTCATTGCATCATTACACAATTCCTTTACTACTAACTACACAAGAGAAAGTAAACAAATTATCTCTGATAATGAAGAGCATAAAAACAGTTGTAATTTTTGAGAACTTTTATTATTGCTTCAAAATATCAACATCATTTTTTTGCATTACCTACAACACTTTATATGTGTACAAGAAAGAGAACTTTAAATCCTTTCATTTCTTTTCTAATAAGGAGTTGCTCCGTGGTGTCCTGAACATAAAAAACAATTGTGGCTTTAACATATGTCCCTTTCAATAATTTAATAAATTAAAATGTTAAATTATTAGAAAAATTAATAAAAAACAATAATATTATTTACCAAATGTATTTCTTTCATTCACATTTCATCCATATTCTGAAAAATAAAAATGTTATTTTTACATTATTATGTACTAAATCTCAAAGTATTACTTTATTTATTGAAATAATTATTATGAAATTTACTTGTTTAATTATATTGTTTTCAAACTTTCTTTTTATGGGAAAAAATATTGACTGTAATTACCTACACAAAGTGAAATGCTTTCAGCGATTGCCATTCCAACAGTAAATATATCATAGCCTAACAAGAAACTCCAAGATTTAATGTTTTTACTTGCATATGCAAATTAAATGATTAGAGAATATTTCTTATTATTTATATATTGCCTTACAAAAATTCAAATATAACCCCAAGAATGAATATTTATAATAATTGCCCTTCAATACTCAAATATTCCAAATGACAACCTTCCAAATGACTGCATTCGTGCAGGAATCACCTCGCACTCGTGTTTCCACCATGGTGTTGCGTATACTATTTTTAAAAATATAAACTATATATATATATATATATAATATATATATATATATATATATATATATATTATATAATATACAACACATATATAAATTTACACTCAGAATACAAAATAAGGAAGCGTTGTCTTACTACATTCTGTACATACAATTTATACATTTAAGCTGTCTGACTCTTGTAAATCTGCTCTCTGCTTGTTAATCTGACTGATCCCGCTCCAGATCCTGCTGCCACCATCGCCCACCGCTGCTTGAGTATGTCGTTTAAGCACCTTCTCCAACAAGCTTCTCCTCATTTCCAGTTGTTGGAACATAGTTCTAGCGTTGCTGCTGCTGTTCCAATCAAGCATTGTCCTTATCTTCTTGAGAAGTTATCCATCCTGAAAACATTAAAACAATTACAATATATATTATATATATATATATATATAATATATATATAATATATAATATATAAGATATATATATACACACACACACACACACACACACACACACACGGACACACACGCACGCGCGCGCATACAACCAAAAATACCAAAAACTATTCAGGTATGAAAATCGAAATTCCAAAGATACAATTCTTATTACATGGTCTGCATAGTCTACACATAAAGTCATGTAGATTACGTGTAGTAAAGACGTGTAGACGTAAAATTAGCGCAACCTTTCCTGCTCGCAAAATAAAAGGTCACTTTTACACACTTTTTCTCAATTAATTAATAGTAGTGTACGTAACAAAGGGCGCGAAACAAGTGATTCACGTACAGTCGATTCACACAAAGGCATTAGTGCAGGAATCACCTCGCACTCGCGTTTCCACCATGGTGTTGCGTATACAATTTTTAAAAATATTAACTATATATATTAGTTATATAGGAAGCTTTTTTATTTATTTATTTTTTCAATTTTTTTTATTGTTATTATTTCCCATAATGGTTTGCCGTCGCATCTCTGCAATCAAAATTTGCACTCTGAACAACTTAGCAGTGTTGGTGGTAGCAAGTTGATAGTCTCTGATAGTCTTGTATTGACACAAGTGTAGCACATCAATGAATGATTCTGAAGTTCAGAGAATGGAATTATTAGAAGAATATGATGGTATGCATTTTGTGTTTTCTTGGTTTATTTAAATATGTTACTACATTTAAGACAAAATTGTATACTAACCTCTATATTTTTCTACTTTGGTTTCTGGTTTTCAACTGGCTTCTTTCTGTAACTTCTAATTTCAGTCAAAAAAGAGAAAAAAGATTTTAAAAAAATGACTACTGATTTCTATTAATAAATTGTTCTCAATTCACAAAAAGAAAAAAAGTCTAGGAAATGGAAAAGCAATAAAGGCAACAAAACTTAAACATATTGGCAATATTATCTACAATATTTTGAGTTTAATGTACTAAATCCAAAAACTAAATTCAGGAGTGAAAATCAAAATTGCAAAGAATACAATTGTTCCAGTTTTCCTTCTCTTCACTCTATCACATTTTTTTTTATTTGACTAAATTGGCAAACTCAAAATGAAAAGGAGTGAATAATAATGTGGAGACATGAATTATTATTTGTAATTATTTAATATTATTTATATAACGAGATACCTAACTATAGTTATTTCGGGGAAACTAATCACGAAGACAATATGCATGCAAGTCATTACAAAGAGTAAAGAGCTTGAAATCAAAAAATTTATTTACATTTTTTGTTATTTTTAAATTCAGTAAATATTTCACTCTAGATAATTAGCCATATTATAAAACAAATATTTCATTTCATATCACTTTTTTTTCCAATGATTCCTATAGGAATGCAGTAAACCTGTTTTTCCACAGAAATTTCTGGATTGCACAAAAGAGAAAATTTGAATGAAAGTATTACTTACAAATTTTGACTTTTCTTTTGTAAATATTATTTCTTTAAGTACGGTATACAATTCACAGCTTACATTATATTATTTGTATTAATAAATTCAATACCTTATGTCCAAACTGACCGCCGAATTCGATGTGAAAACGAAAACCAACGAGGCGAAAACTGAAAACAACGACGAAACACAGAATAAAAAACTAATTTGCATAATCCCCACCAGGTCGGTATTGAGCGGGAACCGTAACAGAACAGCCTGAACTTTTGAAAATGCCCACCAAATATAATAATTATACTTCGCTCTCTGATTAGCAAGCTCATACATTTCAAACAAATAACTATTAATTATGTTAAAAAGAGAATGATAAAGAAAATAATGAAAAGAAAAAGGAATATTATAAATGTATTGTAATAATCGTATAATGTGTTAGTTTTTTTTATACGATTGGCAACTACGCGCTGGAAACATTTGTACTTTTTACGTATATTTGAATGCAACAAAAGGGAAAGGGCAAGCTAGATGTGAGTAATACTTAGATTTAGATTTATTTAGTTAAAAATCAGTAAAAAAATGTATGTGATGAATGGGGGAGAAGATAATCTGCGCACCTTTTCTTGAGTACCAGAATCCCTTCACGCCATTTTAACTATAAATACTTAAAAAATGAATAAAAGTTAAAACGAATTTAAAATAATAATAGTAATGATACTTTTAAAAAAACGCAACAGTAGCGACATTTGAAAAACTAGACATTTTCGTTTCCGAGTTATAGAAAACTTATTTGCGAACGAATTGCAAGTATAATTTTTCTGCATTGCTAACAAAATAGTATTACTCGCGCAACTTTTCTTGAACGACGACCTTGCTTCCCCCTCTCTGATACAATAAACAATCGAAGACAAAAGCCCGCTGCGCGCACTGATGACAACATTCCAAACACGTCTTAATGGACGCGAAATAGAAACTATTTTCTGTTGAAGACGAGAACTTCTGTGTGTTATTTTCTCCAATAATGTAAAGAAATGACCGAAGCAGGTAAAGATCCATCACAGGAGATACCTTGAACTTTTGAAAAAGTTAGAACGCAAATTAGAAAGTTGCGAAGGCATGTCTGATACTCCAGAAATGGCATCCTTCGTCACATTTTGTGGCAGATTACGTAACTAATAACCCCACTCCACCAGCATTTCTTCAATCCATCGTTCAAGAAAAGTTGCGCGAGTAATACCTCGCCCTTACCTATACTCCTACCATTACAAGCAAAAGGAGAGTTAAAACGTGTGCATAGCGAAGCTACATTTACGTCCACAAGCAAAAAAGGGGGCCATCTCAGCATTTGCTCAATGCATCAGCGAAACTGGACAAAAGCCTGAGCGAGATGGGGGTCATTGACTCGGAAACTGAAATACATTATTTGTTACAAGCATTAAGTCTTTAAAAAAATAATCAATACAAACGTAAACTAATTCATTATAAATCAATGTTTTGTTGAAATATACATTATTTTTCTTTTTAATAATCAGTATAGTCTCTAATTGTATAGAAACAGTTTTGCAGTAGAAAAGATTTTACTTTTAACTTAACTTTGTGTGTCGACTTCAAATGTTTAACGTCATCTGGCAATGCATTGTAAAGTAACGTATATGTATTGTATGTGGAATTCTGGTAGTGAGCTGTTGATACTGACACTTGATGAATCTGATTTCTATGACGTGTGCTGTAATCATAAATATCAGTATTGCATGAAAATATGAAGTCGTAGGCTTCCGCGACCAGAGTCATGTGGGTGATCTGGGCTGTCCGGGTGACGCCGCG